GATCAGCAAGCAATGGACTAAAATTACCACCTTGTGGTACTCCTTTCCTTTGTTTGAATATATTGCTGCCAAAAATGCAAAAGCTGTTATCTAACAAATATTCAACTAAATATAATAAGTCTTCTTTTTTATAATATCTATAATTTCTAGTATAATGACACGAAAGCATAAATCCAACAATGTGTTTAAGTTCCTCATAATAAGATTATGCTCTAGATTAGTGAAAATGTCTGTGAAATCAGCCGTATATAGATCCTTATCTAAGATTGTCTTCCTTTATCATGCTGATTTCCTGACTTATGTTGATATTTCTAACAAGGGAATGGTTTGAACTTCCCATGGAACTTTGAATGGAGACCTAGGTACATCGATAGAGCCTCGAATGCTGATTACGAATATGCAGATTAAAAGTGCTACGGGGACCTCCCAGACGAGATCTGGGTGGTCAAAGTTTGAGTTCTGGCTCGTAAGCGCTGCTGATCGATGCTTCGGCAGTGCCACCGTGGCCTCGTGGTAATGGTCTCGCTTTCAAGTCAAACGCATGCGGGTTTGCATCCGGTTGGCGCGCGAAATTTTTGCTTCGCTCCGTATAAGAGCTTCAACTCTAATTTTCGAAATTCTTCCGAATTTACGGCCCAGCAGGGCAAGTAGATCAAGTACATCAAGTATACGACGTACTCGATCTAGTATGGATTTGGTCATATCTGCCCTCTCTGAACATATTACCCATCCGACAATTCAAAGTTTTGCCCAGAATCGCAATTTGGCCAGACGAGCGTTTTTTCGATGTGATATTCGTGTTCAGGGGGTCGAAATCTCCCATGAACGAATTCTCGCGCATAACTTTGAACTGTCGGATGGCGTAATATGTTCAGAGAGGGCAGATATGACCACATCCATACTAGATCGAGTACGTCGTATACTTGATGTACTTGATCTACTTGCCCTGCTGGGCCGTAAATTCGGAAGAATTTCGAAAATTAGAGTTGAAGCTCTTATACGGAGCGAAGCAAAAATTTTCGCGCCAACCGGATGCAAACCCGCATGCGTTTGACTTGAAAGCGAGACCACTACCACGAGGCCACGGTGGCACTGCCGAAGCATCGATCAGCAGCGCTTACGAGCCAGAACTCAAACTTTGACCACCCAGATCTCGTCTGGGAGGTCCCCGTAGCACTTTTAATCTGCATATTCGTAATCAGCATTCGAGGCTCTATCGATGTACCTAGGTCTCCATTCAAAGTTCCATGGGAAGTTCAAACCATTCCCTTGTAGACCAATATGTTTTTATAGTTCTACATCGATTTTCTACAACTTTAGCATATTTGATGAAGTGATTTTTAATGTATGTGAAAACAATATTTAACTCTTGAGCTATTTTCTTGATATTACTATTGTGTGCTCCAGTAATGTACCGGAACTTCACAGGGTTCTTATGTAACCTAGGTAGTGCATAAAGGGACAGGGTTGCATTATTGGTGTTAATATGATTGCGATTACAAAAGATTCATGTTTAGCAATTATTGTTTCTTTATCCACATTGCGTAGGTAGTTCATAAGTGTTATTAGTATCACCAAATTTAAGTTCACCTTCTAAGAGTTCATATCTAATCCCCATTTCTTTCATAATCACTTGTACATATAGTTTTAACGAAGCTCGACCCTGAGACTGACTTCAGTCTTAAACCAAAGGAAAAAGAAACGTTGTCCAGGTCGTGTACCCATCAGTCCTCAACTTTATAGATTTTTTCGACTTCGATGCGTTGATATCACTGGATCCACTTAACCCTTCTACCACACCTACGTTATCTTCCTGGGGAGATCATGTTGTCATGATCTGAATACCTCTCTTTTGTCATTTTGATTTCTTTCGTAATTGGAAGGAATCTACACCGCGAAACCTGTTATGGATTTCTTCAAGACCACTTTTGCCACTACCCGTAATCGCCAGACTCTCCTAAATTGAGACGGAATCTCAGATTTGGCTAAAAAATGGTTCGCAGGGAAAGTTTGGACGCCCAAGTACGGATACCAACAAAACGCCTGCGATAGGCGCTGCCACTACGCCACGTACGCCTTGAAGACGTAATGAAATCTCTCCCTTTCAAAACCATTCCAGGTGCCTTGTAAAGCCAAAAGATGTGTATAGACGATCAACCTGACGCCTGCAACCTTATTGCGAGCGCTACGCGAGCGTTCCACGAAATCAAAAGTAGCATTGAAGAATCGAATCTTTGTGCCGAACATGCCGATCAGCACACCTACCAGATGCTGTTGGAGCACAGCGGCTGTGATGCGGCAAGCTTTACATGCGTGCTCAATGAGCAGTGTTCTCGAACATGCAGGCGAGAAAGTGCCCATAACTCACTTCCTAGAGTCCTTCAGCAGTTCTGACAGTCAGATTCGAAATTGGAACCGAAGACCCGTATAGGAGCATAAGTCTCATCTTAAACGGTCATATCAAGTTGGTATCCATCCCTTGCCCGATCGGAGGCTTCGTCGAAAGCGGAACATTTTATATAATTGTCACAATTTTTCCGTCTCACCGGTTCGTTCCAGCCGCCGCTTGGTTATTGGAAACCTTGAATAGAGAAGCCTGGTCAGGTTGAACCCTCAAGTCGCTGGTATCCCTATCAACGAAACTGATGAGTGCTACACCATATGCAGAGCCAGTTCGTGCAGAATTATCAGGCAATTCCATGTGCTTCAATGGTGCCTATTTATATTTTCGGGCCTCACTGCATATCTATCAGGGAATAGCATTTTTCTCAGTCGCTCTTGCTTTTGTAGAACATTTAGTCAGAGTGTCGCAGGTTTTTTGCAACCTTGCAGTAATTACACACATATTAGGTTGGAAATAAAGTCCTGCGATAGTTTGACCAAAATTTCAGGTCAATTTTCCTATTTTCCTTCACTAATAGACACCTCCAATCTACAGTGTAATCACCATTAATATCTAGGACTAGTGCTTACCTTTAGCACAGCTTCTCGATCCCATTCTTATAGAATCACGGCAACTACGATGAGGAGAGGTGGATCTCATTTCAAAGTAGACGTTGATTTTCAGAATTTTTGCCATCCAAGGGATGCAGTAGGGACCAAAGTAGGTGGCAGATAGAGGCTGCTACTCTCGGATGAAGGTGGGTACGGTCGTATTACCTGATCGAGATCCATAATCTTTTGGGGTGACCTCATCGCCACATGCGTACTTCGCATTGCCGAGGAGTAGAGAGAAACTGAGTGTTTATGAATGAAATCATGCTCAACGTTATCCATGTCCTAAAGTTGATTAGGGTAGACTGTGGACTCTCTGTAATGCAGTATCCGGCGACATCGCTTTGGAATGCCACCAACACCACAGTGAAATCTTTATTCCATGCAATTCTGCTTTTGGCTAAGCAGGCTGAGAGATCTTATAAAGGATAGGTGCGCAGTTCACGCAAGGACCAGCTCCCATTTCCGACCACAGAGTCTCACAGGAAGTGTTTTCATTGTGTAAAAGGGAGAAAAACTCATTAACAACCCTTCGGTGCTCTTTGTCAGGCAGGTGCAACTCATGAGGAACCCTTCACAGAAAATTTCACGGTTAACAGGGGTTGCGGAGAAGCATGATAGTTGTCGCTCAGGTGCAGCCTAGAGATGCTGCCAGCTTACTGGTGGTTACGTACGGCGCGTGTCTGGGGGGTGGGTAAAAGGCTCTCATTGTGTTTGGTGGCTGACTTAAAGGCAGTTGGCACGATAAATCCCCCAAGGCGACTAGGATCAATACTCCTGGCAGGATAGAATTCCGCGACCCTGGGCAGGCGCTGCATAGCGGTTTCCCGAGGAAGGTGCCCTTATAAGGGCCCTATCAAGCCACAACTTTACGTCCCAAACGCCCGCCACGCCCGCCCGCCCACAAATGGACGACCGTTCCTGACGCTCGTATTCATTCATTTGCTAAGCAAATTATGAAGCGAAGGGATTGGTATGAAGCGGCCGTGATGCTGCATGGGTACACATATGCAGCCGTATCTTCGGTAGCGGTGATTGGTAAGATGCCTACGGGAAACGTCCGAAATCGATTTACAAGTCACTGAGAACGGAGGCTTTTTCTTCGCAGGATTTTGACCGTTTCACTCCGTTCTTTCGCCATTTCCCCATACAGCGCCCTACTAGCATTTTAGGCTAAGTAGGAAACCATCGTGCCAACTGCCTTTGATACGTTGCCTACACACCCTCGGATTAAATAACTGTGGCTCGCAAGCACGGGAGACTTTGCCATGGCAAGGGACACCCTTCCTGAAGACAGCGCAGTGAAGCTCCCTTGACTAAAGCGGAGTGGCCCTACAGGAACTCATAATATGGGAGAGGTCGAAAATGACCTCGACCTTTGGGGACCTTTAAGCTTTGAAAGCTTCACAAAGTCATAATATACCCGTCTACAAAAACCCAGAGAACAATCTCCACTAATCAGGTGTGAAAACATTCAAAATCTTTTTTGATCTTTTTCTAGAACAATTAAATCAAAGTGTCAGGACTTTCTTCCCAACCTAATATAATGTCATTCACTTGCAATGGGTAATGAAATCCCTTTGGTCGGGAATCTTTTTCTGATGGTTCTTATACCCTTTTCTCGTGTTTTTTCCAACATAAACGCCTTACGCCCACTAGAAATTGGGCTGATTAGCTCAACGACATTAAGTTAATTGAGCTTGCATCGCGCCTCGTTATGTGTGCATCGCTCCTTGAGCACTTAACAAGGCACGAAGAAGAACGAGTCTTCACCAAAATACACTGACCAATACCCCCCTAGCCCCAAACGGAGCTCCTGGCTTCGAGCAGATATGCTCGCTCTGCCACGATGTTCGCCTTCTTTGTACAACCACTTTATTGAAAAAAAAACAGTTCAACTTGACAGCAAACAAGCGGCACACTGATCACAAGTAAATACAAATGTTGTGAGATCCTCATATGAAAGTCGCTGCAGCAAAGCCGGAAATCAGATAGAATCGTGTTCTTCAAGGATGATCGATGTGGTTTGCACAATAGTCAGATTTGGAGCTACTTTTAAGTTGCTCCTTTCGCCTCTCGATATATCCGGTTCGCATATGGTGGATGATAGTGTGTAAAACCCTTAAAACGGTTTTTCATACAAGGTTAAAGGATAAAAAAGGATAAAGTCTTCGCCGTTGATCAATCCCTTTGTGGGATGCGGCACGCATTCTACTTCCATTCAGAATCGTAGTGGCTTATTGAATGCGATGTGGCCTATACAATGACTTGCGGTGGCCAGCCGATGTACAAGTCAGTGTTTTATCCTCCCAGACGAATCTGGTACCAATTTACCGTCCATGGGCGGATCCAACCCGGGATTTGAACCCAGGAGCACGCGGGTGGTAAGCGCGCCACTTGTCACTACATCACCTCCGCCTTTCATAGGTACATATAAAAAATAGTATTAACTGCTTAACAAAAGCACGTGTTTTTTTGGATTGTGGAGTTTTTTGCAGAAGAAATGTTCCGGATAAGGTGTGTCTAGAATAGAGCTGAACCCACGAGTCCGAACAAGCTTTGGTTTTGGTTGCACACAAAAATTTTGTTTTCTGAGACTAAAAAGTCTAAGAAGGTATTTCAAAAATAGTGATCTCCTCAGCTGATATTATTACTAAAGAAATAGTTGAGTCAGTGCCTCACAGCCTAATCAGTCACACCGCGTGGCAATAGTATAGAGCTGACCTTTTCAATCGCGGCTTTCACATTGAAGTGTATCCCTAGCTGTATCGTAAGCGGATTACCAATTTTCAGTTCCGTGCCACGTTCGCACTGGATGCTTGTGAACTGTTAGAGAACAAGGAAGGAATTTCAGGAGTTCAGAAAGTGGGCCGATAGGAAGACGATCTACAAGCTGAGAGCCCGAACAGATTAACACTTGTTTTCTATCCCTGTGTACTCCTAGACTACAAATTTTGGTAATGAGCATTGATCTGTTGGAACTCTCAGGTGGTTGATCTGCAGCGCGTTTTCTGACTTTTAGAATTTCTTACTATAATCATTGTTTCTGGCCTCCATTCACTGCCCACTCTTAATTTTTCACAAGCATTCGACGTTAACTTGCCGAACTTGAAAGTTTGAATTTCGACCAATTTTTCTTTCCTATGAAATTTAAGAGCACATCCTAGGAGGCGTCATCAAATTATACCTTTGCCATGCCAGTATCATTTCTGCTCGTTTGTGCTCGTCGGTCAAATATCCTGAGATTATCTCATCAACAGTTTCAGCCATACATACCTAAAGATTTGGTCTGAGGGTTAGGTATACTCCTACTACCCTCCACGATGAGTTCAAATTTTTTTTCTCGAAATAGATGTCTCGTAGAAACCGAGGACTCTCAGACGAACACTTAACACTTACCAAAAAAATGTCCCAGAAATTTGAATTGAAACCGCGAGCAATGAAATCGACATGCCGTGCACCCAACTCTTCGCAGGCGCTTCGCACGAGATCGTCGTCTAGCTGCATTGTTATTATCTGTAACTTTGAAAAATACTTTGGAACACTGAACGAGGGTTACTGATACACCTTAAAAATTTATTATGACAGTCTCAATGAGAGACCACCGTTGAAGTCAAGGATGTTTCTTGCGTCATTGATGAGTCGCATCTTCTCGAAGATACAGGGATCGCGATCGATCGCGATCAGGGTACACAGTATCGTTGTGTGAAATCCATGGGAGTCGTACTTGGCCGCTGGGGAGGAGGGTCATATCTGCCCCCACCCCAGCGCAACATTTCTGGGTGAAAGACTGGAAAATGGGGGAAATTTCGGAAAAATCGGTAGGAATCTGGGAACTTGTAGGGAAGTGGTAGGTAGGTGAGGTGTTGGGAAGGGGGAGGTGGGTCGTACCGAGACCCGCTCTTAGGTGGGGGGGGTCTTATCTAGACCCTCCTCCGAGAGGGGTACTATTATACTAACATCACCATTTTACACATCACGATGCTGTACATACTCTGTCCACGATCACTGTGCAGATAGAATAACTGCTGCTTACACTACGAGCTGATCCCCAGTCGCATTAAGTGCACCATTTCGTCGCACCAAAGCGCTTGTTGAGCACGCGAGTGGCTTGTGTCTTGTCTGCCAAATTATGCTGCACCTCTAAGGTTTACCTTCCCCAGGGTCGAGACGGGCAAGACACCACGCCGTCGTTGTGGAAACCACAGGGGGGCGTATTTGACCGCGAAGGGGGGGGGGTCGTAAGCGCAGGGCTTAGAAGGAAGCTGGAAACTCAGCAGTGGGGTGCGGCAATGACAAGAACTGTAGGCATCCACGGCGACGTCATGAATCACTAAACGAACAAAGTGCAGAATACGCGCAGACCTCTCCGAACTACAAGGAGCACATCCCCCTGCACAAAGAAGCTGGATGTCGCACCACTCCAACTCCTCTACATGGGAGTTGTGTGCATGGCGCAATACAGAGGGGATGTTATTCGGAGCCGAACTGAACTATTCCCTGATTCCGACGATGAGATGTGTTCTAGAAGATTACTCTAGTGTTCAATCAAACTGGAAATGGTACAGCGCCGTAGATGTGGATTTTCCGCGCCGTCCGAAACTTTTCACACAGAATCACAACCGGAATTTTTTTGAATAGTGGGCTGTGGAAAAAATTGGGAGAGCTTCTCAGAAAGGGAAGTCTGCTGGGTTCCGGTACTGTATTTGGATCCTTAAAAGTTCACGTGTGAAGAAAGTTATGAATGTTCAAAATAAGAAAAGCTGATACTAAAATGTCAAAACGGCGTCGCAATGGAGAAACTCCCTCAGGAAAGAAGTGCGTAAAATTTCTCAAGCACGTTAATAAACTACAAACCTGATGCTTCACAACCCTGCTTTCTCTTCTTCAGAAGCTCCATTGTCGAGAAAGCCATGGATGTTTGAAAGCGGTTACTTCTGAATTCCTAATACCGAGAAATAGCTCGCTCCAGTGCGTTTTGGACGCTCGCGCGCGATCCCTTA